ACAAAACTATCATTCAGAATTTCGCACGCCCCTGATTTTTATCGTTTTATCGCGAAAATCGTGAAAATTAGGGGCGCACGAAATTAAAGGGCTTTAAAGTATATTATAATATACAAGCCACTTAGCTATTTAAAAACACGTACCCTTTAAAGAGGTTCATTCTGTTCTTCAGAAAAGACTTTGCTTCATTGAGGATGTTTTTCTTAGCTCCTTTGTATGATGACAACTGGCTACAGTTACATATTGCTGGTTTCCGACAAGTTAATGTTGTTTTACCAAGCGCTTCTACATTACGATACAAACACAACTTACTAGAATTGTCATTGTTAGTGTTTTGTCTATCAACATAACATAGAGTTTCCTCTTGGAGTTTCTGTTGACATTTGTAAATCCCTTTCCAGAATAGTCTCCTTTCCACTGTCCACATTATCTCCCTGATCCATTCAACTGCTTCAGAAGAGTGGACCCTTAAGATAGAGATGTTTGTAGGACCCGACCATGCGGCCGTAAAATAAAAAGAGTAGGAACCATTTAAATGGTCAATTACCTTTCCGGCCGTGCTGAAATTCTCTTTTCCAACGCGTATACTGTTGGAAATCGCAAAAAAGAAATCTCCTCCGTTCGTTGGCTTTACAGCTGTACCGTTCAAAACGTAAGAATCAAGCCTCACGCATATATCTCTTCCATATTGTAACGATTGATTAATATAAGAAACAAAAAATACTTCGCTCTCCTCTTTTTGTATATTTAAGATTCCTTCTCTCTTTGTATTAAATTCATAGCAATGTAGTCGTACTCTTAAACTGTCGTTGTAATCTTGATTTGTCCATTCAGTACAATTGTCTGTATATGCATGTGAAGGCTTATATTTACTGTTGCTTAAAAAGCTTGGTCTTGATATATTCGTTGTGAATGTAGAGTGCTTGAAAGAAATAAAAAATAACATTATTACATATAGATGCCTTACTAAATGAATGGCATTTAATCAATGACGAAAAATGAAAATTGAAATACAACAAATGGGTCAGCATTCGATTTCGACTATATAACATAACTAAATTGCTGACCCTATAGCAAATTATGCAATTGTTAGTTGGTACCAGTTGTAACTACCAGTTGTAACTAAAAATGGATGTGTGCACATACAGATTTCGACTGATTTGGAAAGGATTTCATGGCACACAGTAACATGAATGAAAAGTAGGCCTATTAAGGTTAGCAAAGATGAACGTTAACATTTTCGGGTTTTGTAACCTTATTTTGCAGTTTTCACAATGCAATACAGGCACAACTACTATGAACACATTGCATACAGTATATTATATGGCAATTATTTGAAAACTTAAACCGAGTGTTCGTAGCAATTGTGGCACTGATACACGAATGATAATAATACAGTAATAACTAATTCCGCAATAGCAACACAAACACGGTAATACATAAAACTTAATTATAATCTGTTAAATCATTATGCTGCTACTGTATATGCAGAAACTCTAAACATTACTGTACAGTGCTTGAGTCCTAGTCAGTCACCCACACGCAGTGTGTATTTGTGGTCCTGCTCTGATTGGTTCAGTTAAGTGTGATTGGCATTTCTTAGAATCAGTGGGTTTGAAAGATCGTTGATATCTGTATTTAAATTTTACCTTTGGTAAATTGTACAGTATACTAATTGGTTTATAGTCTTCAAAAGTATCAAGCTGCCAGAATGAGATCTACAACAACAAAATGAAAAAAGGATAAGAGTTACAATAGACCTTTCTGCTTTAAGCACAGCTCACTTGGATATTGTTGTCCCACAAAAAGATAGCGTAAATATACGTAAACACGTGCGTATTCCTGGCACTACAGTATTCTGATTGGTCAGTTAAGTTCGATTGACACACTCCGGAAAATTCCACTTATCCGAATTGACAGGTGTATATATTTTTATAGGCCTACATAGGCTACGTTCAGACTTGGAAATAAGCCAGGCTTGAGTTAAGCCCGGCTCAACGTTAAGCCCGGCTTAACTTTGCCGGGCGTTCAGACTGGCGGGTTTAGCCAGGCGAGAATTTGCATAATAATGAACCGTAACCAATAAACGTGTTTGAAAACATTGCTCTCGCGAAACGTACGCTCGCTCACAGCGTACGTAATTGAATGCTGATTGGTCATTTTGTTACCCGGAAGTCAATGCAAGACCCCCCGCAACGATTAAAGCCCTGCTTAGAAAAGTTAAACACGGTGGCGCGCCAGGCCTAGTTACTATAGGAACACAGCCCGGCTTGAGATAAGCAAGAGATAAGCCACCTAGTTCGGACTAGCAGGTGGATAAACCCGGTGAGTTGAGCCGGGTTTATCCACCTAGTCTGAACTAGGCCATACAGTAGATATAATCTTGGGACACCCATTGGGGGGTGTGGGTATTGGGTGTAGTGTTAAAATATATATTTACTCTCGTTTTACTAAACAGTGCCCTCACAATACCTCCTATATGGGTGCGTACATTTGGTCCGAAGGGTCTTTGGTCCGAAGGCCCGTTGGTCCGAAGGGTCTTTGGTCCAAAGTTCCTTATTTTAGTTGGGTGAGTACTAGACTGGTTTTCAGTCCCTAATCTTTGTCTTAATCAGTTAAAATGCTTAAGAATAAATCGATTTTGGTACCAATGGCGCTCCATATTACTTATTTGCATGGCGTTCCATTGAATACCATAGAGCTATTAAACAACTAGAGTGCTGACAAGATGGCGAAGCAATGCAGAGTTATGTATGTGTACCATCCAAGATGGCCGATGTAGTAAAGCGCCACCTTCAGGCGTAGTATACATATTATTACCATAAATAAGGCCTCTGACTGACTATTATTTCATTAATGATGAGTAATGGTAATAACAAATTATTAAACTATCGTAGCCAAAACGAGGCCAAGTGGAGCACCTTATTTAAAATAAAGTACCAAGGAATGAAAATTAAAATCGTGTACATTACACCAATACACCGCAACGCTCGAGTTTCAAACATACGGGTAACTAGCTGTACGGAACTTTTTGTGTAAATTGAGGGCGCAATTGCAAATGATGGTGCTTAGGCGAAATTTGATTATGGCAGCCATATTGGATGGTACACGCACACAGCTCTGCGTATTTCTAACATCGAATACATTGCAGTTAGCGCTCTAGTATTCTTATTATATCTCTATGTAGAATACACATAAACTGACGCTGGTGGCGCTTTCCGAAATGCGCTAATACTACGAAAAATCAATAAATTTGGACAGGTGAGTACTTTTGGTCCAAAAGCCCATTGGTCCGAAGCGTAAATCAGGTTCAAACAAGTTTATTCTGAGAACGTTTCCCTCTTTAGTTTGATTAGTCATTCATACTGCTGATCTCACAGCCCATTTACATCACTGTTTTAGAGTGAAGGTACGCTTTTGGTTTTTTTTTTGCGCAGAGTGACCACTGTCTTTACAGACAGTGCACAGAGGATAGCAGTCATCCCCTACATCTGCAAGTTCTTCTTCTAAACTGGTAATAACATCACGTAGAAGTGAAGTAGGTGCTACCTTCGTGAGATCCGAGGCATGTTTGCTAGGCCCGACCTTGACTTCGGCAAACGAATCACGGAGATCATCAGGTACTGGGCTATAGGCCTTTTTCACGAATCGGTAGACATCATGAAGTGATGACAAACATTGCGAATCAGCAGTGCGTAACTAACAGAAATAAGATAAGCTTTTGGGCTGATTTTTTTGACATTTATACGATGGCCCACAAGGGACACACTGCAAAGAAAAAGAAATGCTGCAAACAAAAAAGAAACGCTGCAAACAAAAAAGAAATCATGGAAACAGAAAAGAAACGCTGCAAACAAAAAAAGAAATGATGCAAACAAAAAAGGAATGATGCAGACAAAAATAGAAACGATGCAAACAAAAATGGAAACGATGCAAACAAAAATAGAAAACACCAGCAAACAAAAAAATGAAACGCTGAAAACAAAAAAGAAATGCTGCAAACAAAAAAGAAACGCTGCAAACAAAAAATAAAAACACTAGCAAACAAATAAAGAAACGCTGCAAACAAATAAAGAAACGCTGCAAACAAAATAAAAACACTAGCAAACAAATAAAGAAACGCTGCAAACAAAATAAAAACACTAGCAAACAAATAAAGAAACGCTGCAAGCAAAAAATAAAAACACCAGCAAACAAATGAAAAAGCTGCAAGCAAAAAAGGAAATGCTGCAAACAAAAAAATGAAACCCTGCAAACAAAATGGAAAAGCCTTTGCGCGCGCGCATTTCATATTAATTGACAACAGACTGAGGTCAGGTCAGATGCGCTGCAGGGCTACATCATAGTGTCAAGCCATGTTTTGCTCTAACTGTGGAACAAAAAGGGGTGTCTATAAAACGACGACCGAAGACCCAAAAACGAAGACCCCTATTTTTTTCTCGTTCATTTTGATGATAATACGCCATGCTCTCACAAAATCAAATTTACGACATTTTTTGGGCGTCTGTTTGTGAAATTTTCAAGGGTCTTCGTTTTATAGACACCCTATATGGGTGTCTACAAAACGAAGACCCGAAGTGTCTACAGAACGAAGACCTCCAATTATTTCTCAATTATCTTATTGAAAGTATTTCAAAATCATCATAAAACAGTTGCCAAGTACATGTTTCATTATTTTATCACGATTGAGAGAAAAAAATGTGGGTCTTCGTTTTTCGGGTCTTCGTTTTGTAGACACCCATATAGAGTGTCTACAAAACGAAGACCCTTAATCATCTCGTCCATCCTATGTTGGTGTCACTACCAAATGACCGATGCTGCACATATGCGTCACTATACCACATTCCTACTGTTTATTTTAACATGGAACAAGTTTATTGAATGAAATATTCAAGTTTTCTGTAGGTCCCAAAAATACGCGTACCGCTAGGCCAAGCCTTCGTTAGAGGGTAGCAGCGCCAAGACGCGCTCAGCCACCAGCCGTGGACGTACAACATTGGTTGTCGCTTTGGAACTGGAATAAAGGGTAAATCATTCAATTGACTCAGATTCAGGCAACAATGTGCTAAGAAGACGAATACTATATATACATAGCATGAAGTGATTTAAAAACATTATTTTATCGCGATTGAAAGAAAAAAAAAAGTGGGTCTTCGTTTTTCTGGTCTTCTGTCTTCGTTTTGTAGACACCCATAGGGTGTCTATAAAACGAAGACCCTTAAGTATTTCTTGATATTCCTCATTTTATTCCGATAAAATAATGAAATAGGTACTTGGCACCTGTTTTATGATGATTTTGAAATACTTTCAATAAGATAATTGAGAAATAACTGGAGGTCTTCGTTTTTCGGGTCTTCGGTCTTCGTTTTGTAGACACCCATATAGGGTGTCTATATGGTGTCTATAAAACGAAGACCCTTAAAAATTTCACAAACAGAAAAATTTCTTAATTTGGATTTTGTGAGAGCCTGGCGTATTATCATCAAAATGAAAGAGAAAAAATAGGGGTCTTCGTTTTTGGGTCTTCGTTTTAT